GGGGCTAGAAACTGTCGGCAAGTTGACTGTGTTTTATAGACGCAAAAACCTCGTTTGAATTACCAATTTCAACAAGAATCCTGGTACAAATGGCCTCGCATCTTCACATACTGCTACAGCAACTCTAGTAATTACGATGGCCCGGACTGTCTAATCTTTGGAATTTATATGTGTTAGTGCCAGGAAGGCACTATCTATACCTTCTAGCGAATCAGTCAAAAAAGAGGAAAGTTCTGGTTGCCGGTGCACTAGCTAGATAAAACTTGAACATAGTGGCTCTCGAAGAGGGCCGTTTATTTGAACAAGGCCAATGGTAGGAAGTGGATGCTAGATGCGACCTCTGGAAGGCTCGTTCGAGAGTAAGGCGATGAGATTCTGTCGTTGCCTTCGTCATGATATAGAAAGTCGTGGGACGACTCACGCATGCTCAAAGCAACAGCGAAGACTTAGCGTTCGTCTTTTTGCCCACGCGTATGACTCATTTGACACGGTCTGTTTCGGCGCCTGTTGTCACATGATGCTGTCGCTTTGTAACGTGTGTGCATCGCTGTTCCTCTCTCCATAACAACTCCTGCTTTCGAAAGATAGACCACATTTGCATTTTTCCACGGGTCCACGATAGTTTTTTCGGCGGTTGTGTTGTTTTGTGTCTCCTTCGGACGGGCGGTGACGTCAGCTTTTCGTGTTTTCTTTTTAGTCAGGTCCTCAACGAGATCATGTAGCACATCGAGGTCTACTTGGCCAGCCGTGGTGAATCTTTTTATAAGCTAGTTCGCATGCCATTTAATTTTACTTTTTGTCATTTCTAGCTCGAAGACAACACACTTCGACTTCCTGACAGTGCTTTCTATCTATTGTTTCTCGCTGGGTTGGTAATTTCATGAAAAGTCGTCTTTTTTCTATTAAAGTAAACTCTTGGCGGTCTGGAAACTCCATGCAGTAGTCATACATCAGGTTGTCGGCCCATAAATGCTTGGTTAGTTTTTAACCATCAAGATCACTTTTCGTGTTCTGTAGACTAGGAGGAACGGTTTGAGATAGTCCATTTTAACGCCTGCACCCCACACCTTTCACATAGCTTTCTTGAAGTTATCAAAAACGTTCTGCTTTGTCGTTCGATTGGGATAAAATAGCGGTGACGTCACGTGTCGAATTTCCCATTTCTGGCACAATTGTTGGAACGGTGATGGCGTTAAATGGGTGCAGTTATCCAACATTTCTGTTGCGATGCCGTATCTGGAGAAAAGTTCTTCCACCTTTCATGCGGGTCATATATTGGTGTCCGGCACAGAGTTCACGTAAAACCGGTTGTTGATGTCTTACTGGAATCACCGTGCTATCGTCATGCATGATGCACTCTTCGGTTATAAAAAACTGCTCCTTCCGGTTCCTGAAGGGCTTTATGCCTAAGGGTATCTTATCTTCATTGGGCCAACCCATTTAAATAAACTCCTTTACCTGGCGTAATAATGGATCTGCTGCGGTGGTTGCCCTGATGTGTTCGGCCGTATGAGGCAGCTGCCGGATGACATCTCTAAATTCGTCTTCGTCTTCTAACAGCCGCTTGCATCCACAGTGTCTTCTTGGTGTTCCTCGACTTCGCCCAGTCATGATAAAGTGCCCGGAGCTCCGAACATTCGAATTGGTATGTACTAGGTTGTGAGGCCATAACTTAATAGAATAGTACTTCTCCGTTATATGTTCTTGGCCGCATATTGCTGTACGCCACAATTAAGGTCCAGTAAAACCTTTAGTGGTTGGTAATCGGTGTGAC